TAAACACTCGAATTCTGCTGTGGACCGAGAGACAATGTTCGCAAATAATTTCACCCGTTTACGAATTGATGAGCATTTCAAAATCTCCTTTGAAGTTTACAGAATTTGGCAGGATTTGAAGAAATAACTTATCGTAAGCCTGGTGGTTATAATACTGCATTATGGCACTGAGTGTTGAGGGTGGAGTAGATGCTTCAGACGCGACCACCAGTACCACCCACATCTCTGCTTGTTGCTTGAGATACGACCACCAGTACTACCCACATATGCTTGTTGCTTGAGATACGACCAACAATACCACCCACATATCTGCTGGTTGCTTGGGTTACGACCACCAGTACCATCAACATCTCTGCTGTTTAGTTGAGACGCTACCACCAGGACCACCCACATATCTGTTGTTTACTTGAGACGCGACCTCCAGTACCACCCACATCTCTGCTTGTTACTTGAGATGCGACCACCAGTACCAGCCACATCTCTGCTTGTTGCTTGAGACGCGACCAGCAGTAACACCCACATCTCTGCTTGTTACTTGAGATGCGACCACCAGTACCAGCCACATCTCTGCTTGTTGCTTGAGATGCGAACACCAGTACCAGCCACATCTCTGCATGTTGCTTTAGATGCGACCAGAAGTACCACCCACATCACTGCTTGTTACTTGAGATTCGACCATCAGTACCAACAACATCTCTGCTTGTCGCTTGAGATGCGACTAGCAGTAACACCCACTTCTCTGCTTGTTCCTTGAGACGCGACCAGCAGTAACACCCACATCTCTGCTTCTTGCTTGAGACGCGACCACGAGTAGCACCCACATCTCTGCTTGATGCTTAAGATACGACCACCAGTACAACCCACATCTCCGCTTGTTGCTTGACATGCGACCAACAGTACCAGCAACATCTTTGCTTGTTACTTCAGATGCGACCACCAGTACCACCCACATATCTGCTTGTTGTTTCAGACGCGACCAGCAGTACAATCCACATCTCTGCTTGTTGCTTCAGATGTGACCACCAGTACCACCAACATCTCTGCTTGTTGCTTCAGATGCGACCACCAGTACCACCAACATCTCTGCCTGTTGCTTTAGATGCGACCAAAAGTACCACCCACCTCTCCGCTTGTTGCTTGAGATGCGACCACAAGTACCACCAACATCTCTACTTGTTACTTCAGATGCGACCACCAGTACCACCCACATTTCTGCTTGTTGCTTCAGACGCGACCAGCAGTACCACACACATCTCTGCTTGTTGCTTGAGATGCGACCACCAGTACAACCAACATCTCTGCTTGTTGTTTGAGATGCGACCACTAGTACCACCTACATCTTTGCTTGATGCTTGAGACGAGACCACCAGTACCACCCACATCTCTGTTCGTTGCTTCAGATGGGACCAGCAGTACCACCCACATCTCTGCTTGTTGCTTCAGATGCGAATAGCTGTACCACACACATCATTGCTTGTTGCTCGAGATGAGACCAGCAGTACCACCCGCATCTCAGCTTGTTGCTTCAGATGCGACCACAAGTACCACCCACATCTCTTCTTGCTGCTAGAGATACGATCACAAGTACCACCCACATCTCTGCTTGATGCTTGAGGTGCGACCGATAGTACAGCCCACATGTCTGCTTGATGCTTGAGATGCGACCACCAGTATCACCCACATCTCTGCTTGTTGCTTGAGATGCGACTAGCAGTACCACCCACATCTCTGCTTGTTGCTTCAGACGCGACCAGCAGTACCACCCACATCTCTGCTTGTAGCTTCTGACGCGACCAGCAGTACCACCCACATCTCTGCTTGTAGCTTCTGACGCGACCAGCAGTACCACCCACATCTCTGCTTGTTGCTTGAGATGAGACCAGCAGTACCACCCACATCTCTGCTTGTTGCTTGAGATGCGACCAACAGTACCACCCACATCTCTGCTTGTTGCTTGAGATGCGACCAACAGTACCACCCACATCTCTCCTTGTTACTTGAGATGCGACCAGCAGTACCACCTACATCTCTCCTTGTTGCTTGAGATGCGACCAGCAGTACCACCCATACCTCTGCTTGATGCTTGAGATGCGACCACAAGTACCACCCACATATATGCTTGTTGCTTCAGATGCGACCAGCAGTACCATTCACATGTCTGCTTGTTGCTTGTGACATGACCAGCAGTACCACCCATATCTCTGCTTGATGCTTGAGATGAGACCAGCATTACCACCCTCATCTATGCTTGTTGCTTCAGATGCGACCACCAGTACCACCCACATCTTTGCTTGTTACTTAAGATTCGGCGAGCAGTACCACCAACATCTCTGCTTGTTACTTGAGTTGCGACAACCAGTACCACCCACATATCTGCTTGTTGCTTCAGACGCGACCACCAGTTCCACTCACAACTCTGCTTGTTGCTTCAAACGCAGCCACCATTACCACCCAAATCTCTGCTTGTTGCTTGAGATGCAACCACCAGTACCACCCGCATCTCTGCTTGCTGGTTTAGACACGACAACCAGTACCACCCACATCTCTGCTTGTTGCTTGAGACACGACCACCAGTACCACCCACATCTCTGCTTGCTGCTTGAGACACGACCAGCAGTACCACGCACATCTCTGCTTGTTGCTTGAGATGAGGCCAGAAGTACCACCTACATCTCTGCTTCTTGCTTGAGATGAGACTAGCAGTACCCCCACATCTCTGCTTCGTGCTTGAGATGAGACCAGCAGTACCACCCACATCTCTGATTCTTGCTTGAGATGAGACCAGCAGTACCACCTACATCTCTGCTTCTTGCTTAAGATGAGACCAGCAGTACCATCCACATCTCTGCTTGTTGCTTGAGACGCGACCACCAGCACCACCCACATCTCTGTTTGATGCTTGAGACGCGATCACCAGTTCCACCCACATCTCTGCTTGTTGTTTGAGATGCGATCACCAATACCACCCACATCTCTGCTTGTTGCTTAAGATGTGACCACCAATACCACCCACATCTCTGCTTGTTGCTTGAGATGCGACCACCAGTACCATCACATCTGTGCTTGTTGCTTGAGACACGACCAGCAGTACATCCCACATCTCTGCTTGTTGCTTCTGACGCGACCAGCAGTACCATCCACATCTCTGCTTGTTATCTGAGATGCGACGAGCAGTACCACCCACATCTCTGTATGTTACTTGAGATGCGACCACCAGTACCACCCACATATATGCTTGTTGCTTGAGATGCGACCAGCAGTACTACCCACATATATGCTTGTTGCTTCAGATGCGACCAGCAGTACCACCCACATCTCTGCTTGTTGCTTGTGACATGACCAGCATTACTGCCCACATCTCTGCTTGTTGCTTGTGACATTATCATGTGGGAGTTCGATACGTGGATTAGGTAAGAAATACTCACGTAGGCTGTTATTACGTATAATTGCAGTTATGTGGAGAGAGCCCTTGCCAGCCGTACCTATCTCACTCGCTCCTCTCGTAACACTGACTGGCCGCCCACAGTACCCTTGAGGGGGCCTTTGATACTGCTGAGGTCAGCACAATATGAATTCAGATAGTGACTCAGGCAGAGACAGTTGGTCGTTGAGTCAACGGTACACTGGTTACTACTACTGAGAGCTCGGCGACGCTAACGTATGTCGTCCCGACATACAACTAATACAAACGGCAAGTACATATACTAAAATTGGAACGATACAGAGAAGGTTAGCCAGATGGACCTTGACTATCCAAGAGTTCAATCCCACCGCTGCCACCATTTATCATGTGGGAGTTCGATACGTGGATTAGGTAAGAAATACTCACGTAGGCTGTTATTACGTATAATTGCAGTTATGTGGAGAGAGCCCTTGCCAGCCGTACCTATCTCATTCGCTCCTCTCGTAACACTGACTGGCCGCCCACAGTACCCTTGAGGGGGCCTTTGATACTGCTGAGGTCAGCACAATATGAATTCAGATAGTGACTCAGGCAGAGACGGTTGGTCGTTGAGTCAACGGTACACTGGTTACTACTACTGAGAACATGACCAGCAGTAACACCCACATCTCTGCTTGTTGCTTGAGATGCGACCACCAGTACTACTCACATCTCTGCTTGTTGCCTAAGATGCGACTAGCAGTACCACCCACATCTTTGCTTGTTGCTTGAGACACGACCACCAGTACTACCCACCTCCCTGCTTTTTGCTTGAGACACGACCACCAATACCACCCACATCTCTGCTTGCTGCTTGAGACACGACTATCAGTACCACCCACATCTCTGCTTGTTGCTTGAGACATGACCACCAGTAACACCCACATCTCTGCTTGCTGCTTGAGACACGACCAGCAGTACCACCCACATCTCTGCTTGTTGCTTGAGACACGACAACCAGTACCACCCACAACTCTGCTTGTTGCTTGAGACATGACCACCAGTAACACCCACATCTCTGCTTGCTGCTTGAGACACGACCAGCAGTACCACCCACATCTCTGCTTGTTGCTTGAGACACGACCACCAGTACCACCCACATCTCTGCTTGCTGCTTTAGACACGACAACCAGTACCACCCACATCTCTTGTTGCTTGAGACACGACCACCAGTACCACCCACATCTCTGCTTGCTGCTTGAGACACGACCAGCAGTACCACCCACATCTCTGCTTGTTGCTTGAGACACGACCACCAGTACCACCCACATCTCTGCTTGTTGCTTGAGACACGACCACCAGTACCACCCATATCTCTGCTTGTTGCCAGTTCTCTTCAACTGTTCTTTCAGCCATTAAAACCAAATTAATTACATTTCGTGCAGAACAGACTAATAAAATGTTCTAGGAATTATGATTTTCTTTTCTGATAATCATAATTGTAGAGATAATTAATGATATGATAATTCTTTTAAACCGTAGCAAGCAGCCGTGTGAGGCGTGACGCGAGGTGTAGCTTGGGCTCATTATTGTGGGGAGGTGTTGTGCGACAGTCATGATGGTTAACACGCAGCTGCTCATCTGGGTGTCTCTCCTGGCCGGGGTACAGCTCTTGGTTCACACGCAGGACACTTATAACCACAGACCCATCATTGGTGAGTTAAATATTTTTAATAATGATACTCACAAATTTGAACGATGATTGAGACATTTCGTCTACTTTTGTGGTGGAAATTTGGCCTGACACGATGTTCAGTTTTTATTACAGGTTAATCGTGGCTTGACTGGCAAAGCTCTCGCTTCACACACGGAAAGCTCGCGTCATTAAAGCAGTCAAGTCATTAAAGCAGTCAAGTCATTAAAGCAGTCAAGTCATTAAAGCAGCCAAGTCATTAAAGCAGTCAAGTCATTAAAAAGTCAAACATTAAAAAGGTCAAGTCATTAAAGGGGTCAAGTCATTAAAGCAGTCAAGACATTAAAGCAGTCAAGTCATTAAAAAGTGAAGCATTAAAAAGGTCAAGTCATTAAAGCAGTCAAGACATTAAAGCAGTCAAGTCATTAAAGCAGTCAAGTCATTAAAGCAGTCAAGTCATTAAAGCAGTCAAGTCATTAAAGCAGTCACGTAATTAAAGCAGTCAAGTCATTTAAGCAGTCAAGTCATTAAAGCAGTCAAGTCATTAAAGCAGTCAAGTCATTAAAGCAGTCAAGTCATTAAAGCAGTCAAGTCATTAAAGCAGTCAAGTCATTAAAGCAGTCAAGTCATTAAAGCAGTCAAGTCATTAAAGCAGTCAAGTCATTAAAGCAGCCAAGTCATTAAAGCAGTCAAGTCATTAAAGCAGTCAAGTCATTAAAAAGTCAAACATTAAAAAGGTCAAGTCATTAAAGGGGTCAAGTCATTAAAGGGGTCAAGTCATTAAAGCAGTCAAGGCATTAAAGCATTCAAGTCATTAAAGCAGTCAAGTCATTAAAGCAGTCAAGACATTAAAGCAGTCAAGTCATTAAAGCAGTCAAGTCATTAAAGCAGTCAAGTCATTAAAGCAGTCAAGTCATTAAAGAGGTCAAGTCATTAAAGAGGTCAAGTCATTAAAGCAGTCAAGTCATTAAAGCAGTCAAGTCATTAAAGCAGTCAAGTCATTAAAGCAGTCAATTCATTAAAGCAGCCAAGTCATTAAAGCAGTCAAGTCATTAAAGAGGTCAAGTCATTAAAGCAGTCAAGTCATTAAAGCAGTCAAGTCATTAAAGAGGTCAAGTCATTAAAGCAGTCAAGTCATTAAAAAGTGAAGCATTAAAAAGGTCAAATCATTAAAGCAGTCAAGACATTAAAGCAGTCAGTAAAGCAGTCAAGTCATTAAAGCAGTCAAGTCATTAAAGCAGTCAAGTCATTAAAGCAGTCAAGACATTGAAGCAGTCAAGGCATTAAAGCAGTCAAGTCATTAAAGCAGTCAAGTTATTAAAGCAGTCAAGTCATTAAAGTAGTCAAGTCATTAAAGCAGTCAAGACATTAAAGCAGTCAAGTCATTAAAGGAGTCAAGTCATTAAAGCAGTCAAGTCATTAAAGCAGTCAAGTCATTGAAGCAGTCAAGTCATTGAAGCAGTCAAGTCATTAAAGCAGTCAAGTCATTAAAGCAGTCAAGCCATTAAAGCAGTCAAGTCATTAAAGCAGTCAAGTCATTAAAGCAGTCAAGTCATTAAAGCAGTCAAATCATTAAAGCAGTCAAGTCATTAAAGAGGTCAAGTCATTAAAGAGGTCAAGTCATTAAAGCAGTCAAGTCATTAAAGCAGTCAAGTCATTAAAGCAGTCAAGTCATTAAAGAGGTCAAGTCATTAAAGCAGTCAAGTCATTAAAGCAGTCAAGTCATTAAAGCAGTCAAGTCATTAAAGAGGTCAAGTCATTAAAGCAGTCAAGTCATTAAAGCAGTCAAGTCATGAAAGAGGTCAAGTCATTAAAGCGGTCAAGACATTAAAGCAGTCAAGTCATTAAAGCAGTCACGTCATTAAAGCAGTCACGTCATTAAAGCAGTCACGTCTTTAAAGCAGTCAAGTCATTAAAGCAGTCAAGTTATTAAAATAGTCACGTCATTAAAGCAGTCACGTCATTAAAGCAGTCAAGTCATTAAAGCAGTCAAGTCATAAAAGCAGTCAAGTCATAAAAGCAGTCAAGTCATTAAAGCAGTCAAGTCATTAAAGCAGCCAAGTCATTAAAGCAGTCAAGTCATTAAAAAGTCAAACATTAAAAAGGTCAAGTCATTAAAGGGGTCAAGTCATTAAAGCAGTCAAGTCATTAAAGCAGTCAAGTCATTAAAGCAGTCAAGTCATTAAAGCAGTCAAGTCATTAAAGCAGTCAAGTCATTAAAGCAGTCAAGTCATTAAAGCAGTCAAGTCATTAAAGCAGTCAAGTCATTAAAGAGGTCAAGTCATTAAAGCAGTCAAGTCATTAAAGAGGTCAAGTCATTAAAGCAGTCAAGTCATTAAAGAGGTTAAGTCATTAAAGCAGTCAAGACATTAAAGCAGTCAAGTCATTAAAGCAGTCAAGACATTGAAGCAGTCAAGACATTAAAGCAGTCAAGTCATTAAAGCAGTCAAGTCATTAAAGCAGTCAAGACATTGAAGCAGTCAAGACATTGAAGCAGTCAAGTCATTAAAGCAGTCAAGTCATTAAAGCAGTCAAGTCATTAAAGCAGTCAAGTCATTAAAGGAGTCAAGTCATTAAAGCAGTCAAGTCATTAAAGAGGTCAAGTCATTAAAGCAGTCAAGTCATTAAAGCAGTCAAGACATTAAAGCAGTCAAGTCATTAAAGCAGTCAAGTCATTAAAGCATTCAAGTCATTAAAGAGGTCAAGTCATTAAAGCAGTCAAGTCATTAAAGCAGTCAAGTCATTAAAGAGGTCAAGTCATTAAAGCAGTCAAGTCATTAAAGCAGTCAAGTCATTAAAGCAGTCAAGTCATTAAAGCAGTCAAGTCACTAAAGCAGTCAAGTTATTAAAACAGTCAAGTCATTAAAGCAGTCAAGTCATTAAAGCAGTCAAGTCATTAAAACAGTCAAGTCATTAAAGAGGTCAAGTCATGAAAGCAGTCAAGTCATTAAAGCAGTCAAGTCATTAAAACAGTCAAGTCATTAAAGAGGTCAAGTCATTAAAGAGGTCAAGTCATGAAAGCAGTCAAGTCATTAAAACAGTCAAGTCATTAAAGCAGTCAAGTCATTAAAGAGGTCAAGTCATTAAAGCAGTCAAGTCATTAAAAAGTGAAGCATTAAAAAGGTCAAGTCATTAAAGCAGTCAAGTCATTAAAGCAGTCAAGTCATTAAAGCAGTCAAGTCATTAAAGCAGTCAAGTCATTAAAGCAGTCAAGTCATTAAAGCAGTCAAGTCATTAAAGAGGTCAAGTCATTAAAACAGTCAAGTCATTAAAGCAGTCAAGTCATTAAAGAGGTCAAGTCATTAAAGCAGTCAAGTCATTAAAGCAGTCAAGTCATTAAAAAGTGAAGCATTAAAAAGGTCAAGTCATTAAAGCAGTCAAGACATTAAAGCAGTCAAGTCATTAAAGCAGTCAAGTCATTAAAGCAGTAAAGACATTGAAGCAGTCATGTCATTAAAGCAGTCAAGTCATTAAAGCAGTCAAGTCATTAAAGCAGTCAAGTCAATAAAGCAGTCAAATCATTAAAGCAGTCAAGTCATTAAAGCAGTCAAGTCATTAAAACAGTTAAGTCATTAAAGCAGTCAAGTCATTAAAGCAGTCAAGTCATTAAAGCAGTCAAGTCATTAAAGCAGTCAAGTCATTAAAGCAGTCAAGTCATTAAAGAGGTCAAGTCATTAAAGCAGTCAAGTCATTAAAGCAGTCAAGTCATTAAAGAGGTCAAGTCATTAAAGCAGTCAAGTCATTAAAGAGGTTAAGTCATTAAAGCAGTCAAGTCATTAAAAAGTGAAGCATTGAAAAGGTCAAGTCATTAAAGCAGTCAAGACATTAAAGCAGTCAAATCATTAAAGCAGTCAAGTCATTAAAGCAGTCAAGTCATTAAAGCAGTCAAGTCATTAAAGCAGTCAAGTCATTAAAGCAGTCAAGTCATTGAAGCAGTCAAGACATTAAAGCAGTCAAGTCATTAAAGCAGTCAAGTCATTAAAGCAGTCAAGTCATTAAAGCAGTCAAGACATTAAAGCAGTCAAGTCATTAAAGAGGTTAAGTCATTAAAGCAGTCAAGTCATTAAAAAGTGAAGCATTGAAAAGGTCAAGTCATTAAAGCAGTCAAGACATTAAAGCAGTCAAATCATTAAAGCAGTCAAGTCATTAAAGCAGTCAAGTCATTAAAGCAGTCAAGTCATTAAAGCAGTCAAGTCACTAAAGCAGTCAAGTCATTGAAGCAGTCAAGACATTAAAGCAGTCAAGTCATTAAAGCAGTCAAGTCATTAAAGCAGTCAAGTCATTAAAGCAGTCAAGACATTAAAGCAGTCAAGTCATTAAAGCAGTCAAGTCATTAAAGCAGTCAAGTCATTAAAGCAGTCAAGACATTAAAGCAGTCAAGTCATTAAAGCAGTCAAGTCATTAAAGCAGTCAAGTCATTAAAGCAGTCAAGTCATTAAAGCAGTCAAGTCATTAAAACAGTCAAGTCATTAAAGCAGTCAAGTCATTAAAGCAGTCAAGTCATTAAAGAGGTCAAGTCATTAAAGCAGTCAAGTCATTAAAGCAGTCAAGTCATTAAAGAGGTCAAGTCATTAAAGCAGTCAAGACATTAAAGCAGTCAAGTCATTAAAGCAGTCAAGTCATTAAAGCAGTCAAGTCATTAAAGCAGTCAAGTCATTAAAGAGGTCAAGTCATTAAAACAGTCAAGTCATTAAAGCAGTCAAGTCATTAAAGAGGTCAAGTCATTAAAGCAGTCAAGACATTAAAGCAGTCAAGTCATTAAAGCAGTCAAGTCATTAAAGCAGTCAAGTCATTAAAGCAGTCAAGACATTGAAGCAGTCATGTCATTAAAGCAGTCAAGTCATTAAAGCAGTCAAGTCATTAAAGAGGTCAAGTCATTAAAGAGGTCAAGTCATTAAAACAGTCAAGTCATTAAAGCAGTCAAGTCATTAAAGAGGTCAAGTCATTAAAGCAGTCAAGTCATTAAAAAGTGAAGCATTAAAAAGGTCAAGTCATTAAAGCAGTCAAGACATTAAAGCAGTCAAGTTATTAAAGCAGTCAAGTCATTAAAGCAGTCAAGTCATTAAAGCAGTCAAGTCATTAAAGCAGTCAAGACATTGAAGCAGTCATGTCATTAAAGCAGTCAAGTCATTAAAGCAGTCAAGTCATTAAAGCAGTCAAGTCATTAAAGCAGTCAAATCATTAAAGCAGTCAAGTCATTAAAGCAGTCAAGTCATTAAAGCAGTCAAGTCATTAAAGCAGTCAAGTCATTAAAGCAGTCAAGTCATTAAAGCAGTCAAGTCATAAAAGCAGTCAAGTCATTAAAGCAGTCAAGTCATTAAAGCAGTCAAGTCATTAAAGAGGTCAAGTCATTGAAGCAGTCAAGTCATTAAAGCAGTCAAGTCATTAAAGCAGTCAAGTCATTAAAGAGGTCAAGTCATTAAAGCAGTCAAGTCATTAAAGAGGTCAAGTCATTAAAGCAGTCAAGTCATTAAAAAGTGAAGCATTAAAAAGGTCAAGTCATTAAAGCAGTCAAGACATTAAAGCAGTCAAGTCATTAAAGCAGTCAAGTCATTAAAGAGGTCAAGTCATTAAAGTGGTCAAGTCATTAAAGCAGTCAAGTCATTAAAGCAGTCAAGTCATTAAAGAGGTCAAGTCATTAAAGCAGTCAAGTCATTAAAAAGGTCAAGTCATTAAAGCAGTCAAGACATTAAAGCAGTCAAGTCATTAAAGCAGTCAAGTCATTAAAGCAGTCAAGACATTAAAGCAGTCAAGACATTAAAGCAGTCAAGTTATTAAAGCAGTGAAGTCATTAAAGCAGTCAAGTCATTAAAGCAGTCAAGTCATTAAAGCAGTCAAGTCATTAAAGCAGTCAAGTTATTAAAGCAGTCAAGTCATTAAAGCAGTCAAGTCATTAAAAAGTCAAGCATTAAAAAGGTCAAGTCATTAAGGGGGTCAAGTCATTAAAGCAGTCACGTCATTAAAGTAGTCAAATCATTAAAGCAGTCAAGTCATTAAAGCACTCAAGTCATTAAAGCAGTCAAGACATTAAAGCAGTCAAGTCATTAAAGCACTCAAGTCATTAAAGCAGTCAAGACATTAAAGCAGTCAAGTCATTAAAACAGTCAAGTCATTAAAGCAGTCAAGTCATTAAAGCAGTCAAGTCATTAAAGCAGTCAAGACATTAAAGCAGTCAAGTCATTAAAGCAGTCAAGTCATTAAAGCAGTCATTAAAGCAGTCAAGTCATTAAAGCAGTCAAGTCATTAAAGCAGTCAAGTCATTAAAGCAGTCAAGTCATTAAAGCAGTCAAGTCATTAAAAAGGTCATGTAATCTGTTTCAAATTTGATGATGAGACATAACATGTAGTCACACAGGTCACCCTAAATTAAAATTTCTGCCAAATATCGGCATTATTCTGTTGGCTCGAGCACTTCTCCTGGTTATGAAATACATGTATAAAGTTTGTAAAGTATTATCTGCTAAATTTGATATAAAACACCTAACCTAAACTTTAAATGTTTGATAAGTTTAGTGAGTTTAGTGAAGCAACACTTAAGGGATTGGATTGTGTTGTTTGGTTAGATGATATGGATAATATTTTTAATTTCAGGAAACCGGACAAGTGTCTCTTGACGTTGGTATTAGACCGATGATGACTCGTTAAGTGGTCAAGCATCAGCTGGTATATCCTAGCTTCGTTTTCATTATATTGGTACCTCGAGTTACGAACTTAATTCATTCCAGAAGGCTGTTCGAGTGCCGATACCGAACGAATTTTTTTGCATAAGGAATAACGTAAATTAGATTAGTCCATTTCAGACCCCCAAAAATACGTTACAAAAGAGCTTACAAAAATAAATACACTTACATAATATTTCTAGTTGGGAGGTGTTCGTATCCCGAGGTACCACTTATAAAACAATGAATCAATACAAGGTTACTAAAAGTTTTTCCTGACCCTGAGTGAATAAAGTGAATCATTCTTTCAACCTCCTCTATGTATAAAAATCTTGACGTTACACGCATTGTTTCCCAACCTTAGTGATAATGTTATCTGGACTTAAGGGAAATTTTTTATCCTAAACTGAGAGAGCTAAATAAAATATTATTTGATAGGATCCAGGATAGTTTGCCACACTATTAAAGGGATGAATCATTTATTGAATTGAAAGTTGGCAATGTTGGTGAAATTCTTGAACATTTTGAATCATAAATATTATTTTGAACATTCTCATTCTGATTATTTTAGGGAGTTAGGTTTTATTTACATGAGTGAACATGAACACTGTGACCTTAATGGCCCAAGCACAGTGTAGTTTACATGTATTTTTTTAAATAACAAAAAAGGCACAATACCGTGACTGGAACAATACACAAATAACCTGCACATAAAAGAGAGAAGCTTACGACGACGTTTCGGTCCGACTTGGACCATTGACAAAGTCACTTTATCAATGGTCCAAGTCGGACCGAAACGTCGTCGTAAGCTTCTCTCTTTTATGTGTGGGTTATTTGTGTATGTATTTTTTTTTAGTAAAATGTCATTTGTGTTTGCAAGTTTTTCGCCTTAACTCTAATGGTTTCTTCCTGACACATGGTAGCTGCCCTAGTTCATGATGTTCTCTTGAGGAAAATGATGACCTTCAGCCTCTTCAAGCACCTGAACACACTCCAACAGATCTTATCTCGTCAGGTAACATCGTATATGCAACAGCTGCCAGGACTCTTAAACATATTCCCAAAGCAGCCCCTCCACACACAGCTGGGAAACCCATAGACCTCCTGCATAAAGCAAACAATGGTTCCGCTATCCTAAGTATTCCATCAACCATCAAGTCATGGCACAACTTGCTACTTTTTGGCAATGTCTGCTTATCCGAGTCGAAAATAGGCATAAAATCACCGGGAGGCTTTTTTCCAGAGCTGACAACTTCGTTCGCCTTCCCCATCAACACAAAAACGAGGCATAACCTTGCGGTGACAGTGAAATAATAAGAGTCCAGGTGAAGAAAAAAATTAAAAGACGACAACACTGTTGAGATAATCAGGAAAATCATCATCATAGATTCTACTGTCTCCAGGGATGCTGACTCTGTGCTTAGAGAAATGCACTTTGTCAGAGAAACCAGACGCAACAGCAGTTCTACTAACACACTTCCCACTGCTGAACCACTCTTCATGCAAGAATCAAGCGTTTACATGTCGTTCCCGTCTGGCTCTGATGGGTGCTACATGGGATTAACTGATATGGTTAAGTCAGTTCATGAAGATATTGCTGTCACTCCTGTCGGAGATCACAAGGATCGTTAACAACTCTTTGGTGCACCACTCTGAATCCTTAAAAAGAAAGATGGAGAAATCAGGCCAATTTCCATGAGCTACACTCTTCACCGCCTCGTTCCCAAAACTGCTGTCCGTAAATACTGGCACAGAGAGTCACGATGCTTCAAACTTTACCACGGGCGGGGTTAGAACCCCCGATCAGAGAGTCTTAAAACTCTAGACCGACGCGTTAGCTGGGCCAGCTGGCCCAGCTAACGCGTCAGTCGGGAGTTTTAAGACTCTCTGATCGCGGGTTCTAATCCCACCCGTGGTATTGTTTGTTTACAATCGTGTCATTACAATTTCGTGAGTCATGATGCTTCAACCAAACCAGCTTGGCAATGACTGATCTGCAGCTTGATTGTTAACGCACTCACTTCACACATTGAAGTCCATGGTTCGATCTCTGTAAGAAGGGAAAGATTATGACGTGTTTCCTTAAGACGCCCATTATTCCTGTTCACATAGTAAAATATTTACAGTAGTGGAAAAAAGATCCTGGACATTCTCTCCTGGGCAAAAATAGTATCAGGCAACTCAGATGTAGTAAACAATGGAGTTAATACTATTTTCATGAAAGAATTAGTGCAGTTACTAACGACGATGGTGATTGGTTGATAAAATTAATAGAAGGTACTTTCTCTGCATCTAAATAAAAATAGATTTATGAATGCATACAATAATTATTACCCTTAGGATATTATATCCAGTATTATAAAAACCTATAAAAAAAAAACCTTGTTAAGTACAGCATTTCGGGCATATTAGGCCAATTTTGTCCCAGGATGCGACCCACAGACCAATAGCACTAACATCCCATATCATAAAAATCTTTGAAAGGGTCCTAAAAAGCAAGATCACCACGCATCTAGAAACCCATCAGTTACACAACCCAGGGCAACATGGGTTTAGAACAGGTCGCTCCTGTCTGTCTCAACTATTGGACCACTACGACAAGGTCCTAAATGCACTAGAAGACAAAAAGAATGCAGATGTAATATATACAGACTTTGCAAAAGCCTTCGACAAGTGTGACCATGGCGTAATAGCGCACAAAATGCGTGCTAAAGGAATAACAGGAAAAGTCGGTCGATTGATCTATAATTTCCTCACTAACAGAACACAGAGAGTATCGTCAACAGAGTAAAGTCCGAGGCAGCTACGGGAAAAGCTCTGTTCCACAAGGCACAGTACTCGCTCCCATCTTGTTCCTCATCCTTATATCCACATAGACAAGGATGTCAGCCACAGCACCGTGTCTTCCTTTGCAGTTTAAACACCCAATCTGCAGACAGTGTCTTCCATTGCAGACACTGCAAAGCTCCAGGCAGACATCAACCAAATCTTTCAGTGGGCTGCAGAAAACAATATGAAGTTCAACGATGAGAAATTTCAATTACTCAGATATGGAAACATGAGGAAATTAAATCTTCATCAGAGTACAAAACAAATTCGGGCCACAAAATAGAGCGAACACCAACGTCAAGACCTGGGAGTGATCATGTCGGAGGATCTCACCTTAAGGACCATAACATTGTATCAATCGCATCTGCTAGAAAATGACAGGAGGGATAATGAGAACCTTCAAAACTAGGGAGGCCAACCCCATGATGACACTCTTCAGGTCACTTGTTCTATCTAGGCTGGAATATTGCTGCACACTAACAGCACCTTTCAAGGCAGGTGGAAATTGCCGACCTAGAAAATGTACAGAGACTTTCACGGCGCGCATAACGGAAGATAAAACACCTCAATTATTGGGAGCGCTTGAGGTTCCTAAACCTGTATTCCCTGGAACGCAGGAGGAAGATACATGATTATATACACCTGGAAAATCCTAGAGGGACTAGTACGAACTTGCACACGAAAATCACCCACTACGAAAGCAAAAGACTTGGCAGACGATGCACCATCCCCCCAATGAAAAGCAGGGTGTCACTAGCACGTTAAAAAACCATACAATAATGTCAGGGGCCCGGACTGTTCAACTGCCTCCCAGCACACATAAGGGGGATTACCAACAGACCCCTGGCAGTCTTCAAGCTGGCACTGGACAAGCACCTAAAGTCAGTTCCGGATCAGCCGGGCTGTGGCTCGATGTTGGTTTGCGTGCACCAGCAAACAACAGCCCCGGTTGATCAGGCTCTGATCCACCAGGAGGCCTGGTCTCAGACCGGGCCGCGGGGGCGTTGACCCCCGGAACTCTCTCCAGATAATGTCCAGACACCAGTCCACTAATAAATGGGTACGCATTTTACTGATGAGTGAACATAGATAACAAAAGTTGTTAGGAAACATGCCCAATGTTTCCACCCTCGATGGAAATCGAAACATGGACCCTCAGAGTGTGAAGCGAGGGCTTTGCCTAGCAGGCCACGGGCCACCCACCTTACACCTGTTGTTTCGTTCACCTAATAAGCAAGTAGGTACCTTGGTGCTAGTCGACTGGTGTGAGTTACATCCTGGGAAGAGTGAGGACCACAGTGGAAATAAGAGAGTCCCTCCATGACGGACTTTCATGGACTATCTGGGTAAAAAATAACAACAAAATTTTATCTTACGTTCTTTAATAATATTATGTTGTAGCTACTTTTTATGCTCTTATTCCACACACATAATAGAATTCACCTCTTTATATATATATATATATATATATATATATAATATATATATATATAAAATATATATATATATATATATATATATATATAAAATATATATATATATATATGGTGCCGTGGTGGTCGGATCTCACGCGCGCTCCTACACCTTTTCCTTGTATCGAACTTTCACATATCTCTTGTTATACGCTGATTACCTATGTAAGCCTCAGCTGTCTCATCTAACATCATCTCAGCAATGCACAGGGTTAATAGATGGATGCCAACCAGGAGGAAGCAAGCAGCCAGGGAAATGGCACGGTTGGCAATACTAGGAGAGGCAAGTGTCGGTCATGCTTACAGCTTCGTTGTCTCAACTCGAATGGTTTCCTCCGCAAACACGGTAGTTGCCCTGGTTCAGGATGTCCTCCTGTGGAAAGTGACGATCCAGAGCCACCTCAGGCACCTGAACCAACTCCAACAGATTTCATCTCATCAGACAGTCTCTTGGAAGCAATTAAAGCAACAGGTACGAGGACACTCACACATATCCCCAAAGCAGCCCGTCCACACGCAGCTGGGAAACTTACAGACCTCCTGAAAAAAAGTAAACGATGGTTCCACTATCTTAAATGCTCCACCAACCATCAAGGCATGGCACAACTTGCTACTTTTTGGCAATGTCTGCTTAGCTGTGCCGGAAAGAAGGGGAAAGAGGCTAGCCTCAATGATAATTAAATCCTTAAGAGATTTTCCTAGAGTTGATGACCTCATTCTCCTTCCCTGTCAACACAAAAAAGGGAGAGGCAGAACCCCCACTCACTCTACTGACAGTGAAAAAGTCAGAGTCCAGGTGAGCAAAAAAAATTGAAGAGGGCAACACAGTGGGGGCAATCATAATTATTACCAGTGAAGATACAGTTGCTCCCAGGGATGCTGACACTGCTGAAGCACTTAGAGGAAAGCACCCTGCCAGGGAAACCAGTGGCACCAACAGTTCCAACACCTCTGTCCCCACTATGGAACCATTGATTGTGGAAGACTCAGACATTTACAAAGCAATAATGTCGTTCCCATCTGGCTCTGCTGGGGGTTACACTGAATAAGGCCACAGCATTTAAAGGAAAATTTGGTTAATCCAATTATTGGGGAAATTGCAGAGACACTGCTTTCAGAGATCACAAGGTTCGTCAACAATTCCTTGGCTGGTCTGATTCCTGATGAAATTAGACCTTTTTTTTTGGTGCAACACTTTGTGCACTTAAAAAGAAGGATGGAGGAATTCGGCCAATTGCAGTAGGCAACACGTTACGCCGCCTCGTGTCCAAAGCTGCTGTCCGAAGTATTCGTGCACAGGCAGCCATGATGCTTCAACCAAACCAGCTTGGCTTTGGGGTCTCTCAAGGAAGTGAAGCAGCGGTTCATGCAACAAGGGCGTATATCAACAACCTGCCTGAGGACAATGCAGTGGTAAAATTAGATTTCAAGAATGCGTTCAATCTCCTGAAAAGAGACGTGGTATTAGCAGCAGTACAAGAACATTTCCCTGGTCTCTTCCCTTTTGTTTCAGCTGGGTATAGCAAGGAATCAGTGCTTCTATTTGGAGAGCATGAAATCACATCGTCGGAGGGTGTCCAACAAGGAGATTCTCTTGCACCATTTCTCTTCTGTATAGCAGTTAGGGAAATCACAGTCAGACTGACCAGCGAGCTAAACATCTGGTTCCTAGATGATGGCACACTAGCAGGTACAAAGGAGTCCCTCCTACATGACCTTACACAGGTAATGACACGGGGACAGGAAATGGGTCTCATCCTGAATCCATCCAAATGTGAAATCATCTCATCAGTCAACAAGTGATAAATGCAGTGAGATCAAAACTACCAGGGAGCAGCAGTCATTGCCCCCACAAATAGTGTCTTGCTAGGAGCACCTCTGGGAAGCAATGCCATTGAACACAATTCTCAGGAAGAAATTGGAAGAGTTAAGGAGAATGGAACAATGAATAGGCAATCTGGACACCAACGATGCCTTGTACCTTCTCACAAAGTGCTTGAGTCTGCCCAGGTTGACATATTTCCTAAGATGTGCACCTTCATATGATAACCCTATACTGCACGAATATGACAGTATTCTGAGGCAGATTTTTACGAAAGTACTTAACCTTACTCTAGAAGACGGGCAGTGGAACCAAGCTACACTTCCAGTCAGACTAGGAGCATTGGTGTCCGCAAGTCATCACAGATTGCGTTTACCTGCTTTTCTGTCCTCGTGTATTGCATCCAGAGAGCTTGTAGCAGCGATTCTCCCTGAACATCTTAGGGACAAGATTGGAGTCCAGGACCAAAAATTCATTGACGGAGCAATGATCTGGGATAATCTAACGGACTCTGAAACCAGACCTGCTCCCCCCAACGACTACAAACAATCGCACTGGGATGGTCCAATAGGGGAAAATATAGCCTCAACAATGCTTCAGAGTGTGTCAGGGAAGGATAGAGCCCGCCTCCTGGCAGTGAGAGCCCCTCATGCTGGGGACTTTCTGTTGGCTGTTCCCAACTCCAGCCTTGGCACACGCCTCGACCCACAGACCATCCGCATCGGTGTTGCCCTTCGACTTGCCGCCCCTATTCTCGCCGAACACAGGTGTATTTGTGGCAGTGAAGCAGCAGACCGATTCGGGTACCATGGTCTTGTGTGCCGTAAATCCGAAGGAAAGATTGCAAGACATGAGGAGGTTAATAACATTATCAAGAGGAGCCTCACAACAGCTGGATGCCCAGCAGTAACGGAGCCACCCCAACTATGCAGATCTGATAGCAGCCAGAAGCGTCCAGATGGTAAACACCCTTCAAGCCTGGACAGATGGGAAGCAGGTAGTGTGGACTATACATGTGCATCTACCTTGGCTGATACCTATCTCCAAACACCAGGGAGGAAGGAGGGCAGCTGCCAGCTCAGGAGTCCCAAAGTCTAGAAAATATGGAGAACTTGCCCCATCATTATATGTTTGTCCCATAGGCTCAGAGACCCTTGGCTCATGGGGAAAGAGTGCATCTAATTTCCTTAAGGAGCTGGGAAAAAGACTCATCAGGGTAACTAGGGATCCCAGGGCAGCTAGTTTTCTGTTCCAGCGGGTCAGTGCAGCTGTTCAAAGGGGTAATGCCTGCTGCATTTTGGGCACACGCCCCAGCTCTGAGGAGCTGGATGAGAATTTCGCCTTATAATCGGTGATACACACGTAACAACATGTACCGTATATGCCACCTTTATATCAACAATGTAAACTCTTAAATCTTCTGTGCCGTATTATGTAATAAAATATTCCTATTGGGAAAAAAAAATAGTTTAAAAGATGGGGGGGTAGGGGAAGTGGAATATTCAAACGGCTTCAGGATGAAATCCAAATATTCTTCCTTGAAGCCTTTTTATCCACTTCTCCGAGGCTATGGGTCCCACAATTTTACACCAGAGGTGGACCCCATCATATATATATAAAATATATATATATATAATATAAATATATATATATATATATATATATATATATTTATATATATGTCGTGCCGAATAGGAAGAACTTGCGATCTTGGCTTAAATAGCAACGTTCATCTTGCCATATAGGACAAGTGAAAATTTGTGTATGCAATAATTTCGCCAAAATCATTCTGAACCTAACGAAAAAAATATATTTCACTGTGTTTGTTTAGTATTAAATTATTGTAAACAAATTTAAAATATATTTAGTTGGGTTAGGCTAAAATAAATTGCGCTTGTTATAATAAGGTTAGGTAAGTTTTCTATGATTCTTCTGATGCAAAATTTAAAATTTTTTACATTAACATTAATGAAAAAAAATATATCTTTAAACGTATAGTATATATATATATAGTATAAATATAATATATATATATAATATATATATATATATAATATATATATAATATATATATATTATATATATATATAAAATAGTATATAAAAATTATATAATATCGTGCCGAGTAGGTAAATCTAGTAATTTGGATTAAATAGCAACGCTCTTCTTGCCGAATAAGGCAAGTGAAAATTTGATTATGCAATAATTTCTCAAAAATCATTCTGAACCTAACGAAAAAATATATTTTATTGTGTTTGTTTATTATTAAATTATTGTAAAGTTATCTAAAATATATTTAGTAGCATTAGGCTAAATTAAATTGCAATTGTTATAATAAGGTCAGGTAAGTTTTCTAAAGCTTTTTGGTACGAAATTATTAATTATTTCATTAATATAAATTAAAAAAAAATATATCTTGAAACGTATAAAAGAAAATTTTAGAATGGACTTAATTTAAACGATTTTTTGCTAATTGGCCAAATTTACCTATTTATCAAAGAAAAACATAATTGATAAGATAAACTTGAGAGGATGACTAAGTGCATCTTCCGTTGTACAGGAATTCTGGCTCAGCGTCCTGAAGTCCACATAGTGACCGGTTGGACAAGAAATACACCTCTTACATCGCTGCTTCCTATGTTAAGTTCCTGGAGAGTGCTGGGGCCAGGGTCGTCCCTATCCTGTACGTCAGTCACAGTTTAATAATAATAATAATAATAATAATAATAATAATAATAATAATAATAATAATAATAATAATAATAATAATAATATAATAATAATAATAATAATAATAATATGCGACCCACACCAGTCCACTAACACCCAGGATGTGACCCACACCAGTCCACTAACACCCAGGATGTGACCCACATCAGTCCACTAACACCCAGGATGTGACCCACACAAGTTCACTAACACCCAGGATGTGACCCACATCAGTCCACTAACACCCAGGATGTGACCCACACAAGTTCACTAACACCCAGGATTTGACCCACATCAGTCCATTAACAAACAAGATGTGACCCACACCAGTCCACTAACACCCAGGATGTGCCCCACCCCAGCCCCACTAACCCAAAGTGGCCCCACACCCCCCACTAACCCCCAGGATGTGCCCACACCAGTCCTAACACCCAATATTGACCCACCCAAACCCAACACCCAGGGGCCCACACCAGTCCACTAAACCGGGATGTGCCCTGCACCAGTTTACCGGGGATTTTACCTGGAGAGTTCCGGGGGTCAACGCCCCCGGGGCCCGGGTCTGAGACCGCCTCTGGTGGAAGAGCCGACAACCAGTCCACAAACACCAGGTGTGACCCACACTAGTCCATTAAACCCAGGAGTACCCCACTAGCCCCACTAACACCTAGGATGTGACCCACACCAGAAACAAACACCCAGGATGTCCCCCACCCCAGCACAAACACCCACGATGTAGCACACCATCACAAAACCCCCGGATGTGACCCACACCAGTCCACTAACACCAGGATGTGACCTGCACCAGCCACTAACACCCGGGATGATCCACACTAGTCCACAACCCCCAAGATGTGACCCACCCCATCCCTAACGCCCGGGATGTTACCCCCACCAGCCCATAACCCCCAAGATGGACCCAACCAGCCCCACAACCCCCAGGAGGACCCACACCGTCCAAACACTCAGGATGGCCCTGCACCATTTCCACTAACCCCCGGATGTGACCCCAACTAGCCCACAACACCCCCAAAATGTGCCCACACCAGCCACTAACACCTGGGTGTGACCCACACCGGTAAACTAACACCCAGGATGTTACCCACCCCCGTCACTAACACCCACGATGGACGCCAACAGTCCACTAACACCCATGTCCCCAACCGTCCACTAAACTCAGGATGTGACCTGCACCATCCCAACCCCCAGGAGTGACCCCACCACCCACTAAACCCAGGATTGACCTACACCAGTCCACTAAACCCAGGATCGCCCAACCAGCCACTAACACCCAGATGCGACCCACACCATCCATTAATCCCCAGGATGTGACCCACACCATCCACAAAACACCCAGGATGTACCCACCCAGTCCACTAACACCCAGGAGTGACCTACATCATCCACAAACACCCAAGATGCACCCACTCCAGTCCACTAACCCCCAGGAGTGACTCACACTAGTCTACTAACCTAGGATTGACCCACCCCAGAAAAACAACACCAGGATGTGACCCACCCATCCACAACCTCGGATTGACCTGCACCAGTCCACTAACACTCAGGATGGACCTGCAACGTCCATAACCCCCAAAGTGACCCACACCATCCCAAAACCCCCGGATGTGACCCACCGTCCACTAACACCCAAATGTGACCCACACCATCCACAACACCCAGAAGTGACCCCCCCGGTCCCTAAACCCAAGTATGACCCACAGCATCCACTAACCCCCAGGAATGACCACAACCACCCCTTTTACACCCAAATTTACCCACCCAGTCCACTAAAAACCTAGGATGTGCCCACCCCGTAAACTCACCCAGGATTTTACCCACCCCAGTCACTAACACCCACGATGTGACGCAAAACAGTCCACAACACCCGGGAGTACCCACACCATCACAACCCTCAGGAAGGACCGAAACCAGCCCCAAAACCCCCAGGATTACCCACACCAGCCCACAAACACCAGGATGTGACCACACCACCCACAAACACCCGGGGATGCGACCCACCCCAGTCCCTAACACCCAGGATCACCCACCCAGTCCACAAACCCCCCGGTGTGACCCCACCATCCAAAAAACCCCAGATGTGCCCCACACCAGTCCACTAACCCCCAGGATGTGACCTACACCGCCCCCACTAACACCAGATGCGACCCACACCTGTCCACAAAACCCCAGGAGGGACCCACACTAGCTACTAACCCTAAAGGACCCACACCAGTAAACTAACCCCCGGAGTGACCCACCCCATCCCTAACACCCACGAGGACGCACACCAGCCCACAAAACCTCGGGTGGACCCACACCAGTCCACTAAACTCAGGATGTGCCCTCACCACCCACTAACCCCCCAGGATGGATCCACATTTCCCAAAAACACCCAAAAATGTGACCCCCCCAGTCCACAACACCCGGATGTTACCCACCCCGCCCAAATAAACACCAAGATTGACCCCCCCAGTCCACAAACACCCAGGATGTATCCACCCCTCCACAACACTCAGGATTGCCCCTGCCCCAGTCCAAAACCCAGGAGTGACCCCACAGTCCACAACACCAGGATGTACCCACACCAGTCCACTAACCCTAGAGTGACCCCAACCATAAACAACACCCAGGATGGCCCCCCCTCACTAACACCCACGATTTTGACGCAAAAACAGTCCACTAAACCCAGGATGTGACCCACACCAGTCCATTAACACTCAGGAGTATCTGCCCAGCCCATAACACCCAGGGTGACCCACACCAGCCCACACACCCAAATGTACCTACACCAGTCCATAACTCCCCAGAGCGACCCACATCAGCCCACAAACACCCAGGATGCGACCCACCCCATCTACAACACCCAGGATTGCCCACCCAGTCCACTAACACCCAGGATTGACCCACACCAGTCCACTAACACCCAGGATGTGACCTACACCAGTCCACTAACACCCGGGATGCGACCCACCCAGTCCACTAAACCCAGGAGTGCCCCACCTCTACAAACACCTAGATGTGACCCCCAAAAACTAACACCCTTGATGTGACCCACACCAGTCCCAAACCCCTCAGGATGTGACCTGCCCCACCCACAAACCCAGGATGTGACCCACACCTCCATAACACTCGGTGTGACCGCACCAGTCCACTAACACTCAGGATTGCCTCACCAGTCCACAAAACCCCCAGGATTGCCCCACCCCGTCCACTAACACTCAATTGGCCCAACCTCCACTAACACCCGGGTTGCCTACACCAGTCCACTAACCCCCAGGACGCCCAACCCCAGTCCACTAACACTCAGGAGGACCCACCCAGTGTACTAACACCCGGTGTGCCCACACCAGTCCCCAACATCCAGTCCCCTTTTTCACGAGGGGTAAACATAGACAGCGGGTTTAAAAGAAACATGCCAATTTTTCTACCTTTCCCGGGGGTTCGAACCGACCCTCGCCGTGTGAAGCGGAATTTTAAGCCACCAGGCTCCCAGAGTATTCAATTGTTGTTTTTTTATTTTTATTATATTATTATTATTATTTTTAAATTTTATTATTTTTATTTTTATATTTTATTATTATTATTTGGTTTTCATTTACAAATTTAAAAATACAGTGGTCCCTCGTTTTTGAATTAACCCTTTTCCTGGGCCTTACTATAAACATATTTACATTCAAATTAATTTTCCCCATAAAAAATAATGAAAAATTAATCCGTTCCGACACCCAAATATTAAAAAAAAAATTTTTTAACATAAAATATCATTAGTACATAAACAATACAATGGGAAATGAGATGAAAATTTCAGCATAAAAACTTACCTTTTTTGGAGATTCTTTTTAGTGTATGGGGACTGGGGGAGGGAGAGGGGATTTTTTATAGTTTGGAAGGGGGAAACCCCTTCCCTCAACACCCCAGGTACCATTTTCTTTTTTGGGCTTTCTTTTTCTTCTCTGTTTCTTAATGCCACTAGGACCACCTTGAGAGTCACTGGACCTGTCTCACAAAAAATGTGGGGAGGCTCTGTTTTTTGGGTTTTTTACCTTCCCTAAAATGGCCCTAGACTTTTCACTGTACATGTTGCCCAATGGGTTTTCAAAAAACTTGTTAGGGTGTGTTTCCCCAAAAAAGCTTCCACTTACCCCCCTGTAAAAAAACCCTTTTAAATTTTTGAAAAAGGCACTCTTCCACTTCTTTTCCTTCTGAAGCAAGATTCTGAGCTGCGATGGTTGCTCTTTCCCGTAAGCCTTTTACTCCTCATTTGGCTCTTCATTTTGGGGTTCCACCAATTTTCCAATCCTCCAAACCCCCATCCAACCCCAGGAACCCCCCAGTGCCACAAAAGATTTTTTCAAAACATAGGCCATTAGGGTCAGCCCAAATTCTTTAAAATCCCCCTTGTCGACACAATCTGGCCACAATTTTTTTCCAGGCAAGTTCAAGTCCCGGAACCTCCCCCCCAAGCCTACCTATAAGGGTTATGCAGTGGAGGAGCTAAGGTTTTTCTCCAAAAAATTCCTTTGGGTCAAGTGGGGTGTCTCTGGGCCAGTCAAAACACCGGAAACATTGCTTTTGTGTAGGTTTTTTAAAGTTTGCAATAACCTGCTGGTCCATGGGGTTGGGGGAGAGGAGTGGGATTCGGGGGCAAGAACTTTACTGTGATGAGCCCAAACTCCTCGAAAATTAGGTCACCAAGTTTTGGGGGAGAGCAAAGGGGCATTGTCCCCCTTACAGCAGGGACTTTGGGTCCAATTTTCTTTTCCCGGAATACTCCTTCAACTAGGGCCAAACACTTCATTGAACCATCGACGAAAATTTCCCTCGTGACCCAGCCTTACATTAGATTTTCCAAACACGCACAATTTACTCTTCATAACATTGTTTTTTTTTTGAACACTCTGGGGTTTTTTAGAAAGGTACAGTAGTAATGGTTCACTTTTAAACCCCCCTAGCATTAGCACAGAACATAGCGTCAGCCTGTCTTTTATAGGTGTGTCCTGGTATTTTCCTTTTCCTTTGTTAAAAGAAGGTCCCTTTGGGTTTTCTTCCAAAAAAGGCCCTTTTTGTCACAAATTGAGCACTTTTTTCAGGGTTTTAGTCCCTTCAGCCTCTATGTACTCCGGGAAATTTATGCACATATTTTTCAGCGCCGTGGTCCGAACTGGCAGCCCACCCTGCCTTACCCCACTGTTTGCCAGTACGGTTTCTTAAAAACTCTCAAACCGCCTTTTCTGGCCTTAAATTCACTCACTTCACCCCCTATTTTCAGGGAATTTCTTTACCAAATCATCATGCAATCTTAAACCCTTTTTACAAATAAAAGAAGTCATAAAGTACTCTGAATTGTTTCTCATTTATCCAACCCAAAAATAACTTTTTCAAACCCTTCCAAACTGGTGATCTCATTTTTGTCAGCATAGTTACCCCCTTTGCAAAAACACATCCTTTATTTCATTTTTCTTGGCCACTAGGAAATAAAGGGTTTTAGGGTTTTTTATACACCTGGACATCGGCCAACTTGTACCACTTTCTATTGTTCAATGATGGTTTTCTTAAAACAAATCTATTTCTCACCTTTACCACAGGCTTGGCACTAGGAGCTTTCTTTGGAGCCATGGTAGCTTATTTAGTACTTGCAAGCACTAAAATAAATGGAATATTATGAAATATTTCGCTGGAGCACGTGAGGGGACCTTCGCTCACTGGTAAACAATGCCAGACTGGCTGCCACCCTGGCTCACGCCGTGGGTACGCGTCCCGGACGAACTACGACTTGCGAGTCAACCTATGAAAAGCGAGTCCATGTTTATACGAAAATACCTCTATGATTGGCGAATTTTACGATTGCCGGGAACTACGAAAAGCGAGGGACCACTGTATATAATTTAAATAATGAATAACAACAATTATTCAAAACTTGAGTTTATGGCAAAATTAAAACCAAGAATTTGTGTTGCATAATGTGATGTTATAACTACATGAAGTTATTTTTGATTCCAGTACTTACCAAGACAACGATTATTATGAGAACCTCGCGGGTTCCCTCAATGGGTGAGTTATTATGAGAATCTTGCGGGTTCCCTCAACGGGTGAGTTCACATTACCATACCTACCATTCACCATTATATATATATGTATACATATATAATATATATATATATATATATATATATATATATATAATATATATATATATATATTTATATATATATATATATATATATGTCGTGCCGAATATGTAAAACTGTCATTAGCAAGAACTCATTTAAAATTAAGTCCTTTCAAAAAATTTCTCTTATACGTTTAAAGATATATTTTTTTCATTAATATTAATGTAAAAAAAATTAATTTTGCACCAAAAGAATCTTAGAAAACTTACCTAACCTTATTATAACAAGCGGAATTTATTTTAGCCTAATCCTACTAAATATATTTTAAATACGTTTACAGTAATTTAATACTAAACAAACACAATGAAATATATTTTTTTCGTTAGGTCTAGAACGATTTTTGCGAAATTATTGCATACACAAATATTCGCTTGTCTTATATGGCAAGATGAGCATTGCTATTTAAGCCAAGATCGCAAGTTATGCCTATTCGGCACGACATATATATATATATATATATATATATATATATATATATATATATATATATATAATATATATAATATATATACATATATATATATATATAATATATATATAATATAAAATATATATATATAATATATATATATATATATATATATATTATATATATGTATGTATATATATATATATATATATATATATATATATATATATATATAATATATATATATAAATATATATATATATATATATTATATATATATATATATATATATATATATTTATATATTATCGTAACCACGAACGTGTGGTATTCAGTAATAACAATACTGTGCTTGCCAAGGATTCGAACCCATGTTGAACTGTCCTGCCATAATTGGGCGTTCCTGTGGGTTAAGGTGTCATGTGGCTCTCGCACACAATGGAGGGCCAGTACAACATGGGTTTGAATCCTTGGCTAGCACAGTGTTGTTATATATATATATATATATATATATATATATATATATATATATTATATATATATATATATATATATATATATATATATATATATATATATGCAAAACAACCACTCTGAAAGAATAGAGAAATTCCAAGCGCTTCGTGGCTACTCACATTATCAAGGAACTATGAAAGTAAAGCATCCTAGGAAAACCATATAAAGGGGTCTGGCCTGCACCTCACTATCAGATCCCACAACGTTAAACACGTGACGCGCGCCGACCCAACTTGGATAGGTCCTTTGCACAACTCACCCACAAACTATTCTACCCAAGAAAATTTAAAAATTATTATTTGTCCAGTGTATTATTAAATTCTTCCCAAATTCTATTAATTATAAATGGATCAATTTATATAAACCCAAAGGAAATATTCATATTATTGTCAAAACTGCTTTTTTATGAAACAAGATTAAATTTAAATATTCCTGTCGACCATGGACTTGCTTGATACTACTTTCTCAACTTTTTGAAAATCAATTGGATGGTTAAAATCTCTTACATGAAAAATAGAGGCATTGGAATCTTGTCCAGTTCTAATGCTATATTTATGTTGTTTTAATCTTAGTTCGAGATTTTTACCAGTTTGACCGAAATAAACTTTATCGCAAATTTTACAAGGAATCTTATAGACACATCCATCAGCATTTTGGGGGGAATTCTTTATCAAAAGTTTTTTTACTGTATCAAGATTTTTGAATACAATTTTAATATTAAAAGTCTTAAGAAGAGAAGGCATTATCAACCAAGTTTTCATGGTAAGGGAGAACCAACATATTTTTAGTTAATAAGGCTGGTTGTCCCTTTTGGGATTGTAAAAGTGTTTCTAGCAACTTTAAAAGTTTTATCAATTACATTTCTTGGGTATTTTAAATCACAAACCTATTTCATAAATTTTGGATATTTCCTCATCTATGAACTCAGGCTAAAAATTCGTAAAAGCTCTAAAAAAACATTGATGAGAAAACAGACAGTTTGACTCTATCTTGATGCGAGGAATAATAGTGGACATAGGAACAGTTATTTGTAGGTTTTCTGTAAATTTTAAATTTGAATTCATTATTCCCCTTAATAATTAAAACATCTAGAAAAGGCAATGAGTTATTTTCTTCAAACTCAACAGTAAAAGTTTATTAGAATGGACTAAGCTATTTAATTTTCCAAGGAAATGGTGTATATCTAAAATTTTTGGGCAAAAGACCAAAATATCATCAACATATCTGAACCATTTAGCTCTATTAGGGAGGATTGTGTTAAGCAACCTTGTTTCAAAAATTCCATGTATGGGTTTACTAAGAACGGTGAAAGAGGTTTTTCCCATTGCCAAAACCAAACTTCTGAGTGTAAAACTTATCATTAAATACAAATTTTGCATCAACAATGCAAAGTTTAATAAGTTTAATGATAGTAGGAACTGGCAATGGTAAATCATATTTAAACGAGTTCTCAGATAAGAAACTTAATAAATCATCAACAGGAACTTTCGTAAAAAAGGGAAAGTAACATCAAAACTAACCATGTTAAAATCTTTTAAAGTCAGTCAAGGAGCTTAATTTATCACCAAGTCTTGTTGTTTTTAAAACATTAAAGTTAGAAATTTTGCCAACAATAGGGCTCAAAATATCAACAAGCCATTTGGATAATTTATATGAAACTGACCCTATGGAGCTAATAATTGGTCTGACTGGATTCCCTGGTTTGTGTGTTTTTATTAGTCCATACATGTAAGGTAAAGATGGATTAGTGGAAGTAAATTGTTTGACTTATTCATCTTTGCCTTTCAGTAGAAGTTTTATGTTTTATTGAAATTGCTGTTAACGTTTCTAGGGGATTTTCCTAAGTTTAGAATAGGTTTCAGTATCATCTAAGAGATTATTCATTTTTTCTTGGTAATCATTTTCTTTCATAATTACTATTGCATTTATTTTGTCTGCTTTAGTAAGGCGTAAATTTTTATTGTTATTAAGTGATTCATAAGACTTAAAGAATCTTTGAGGGCAATTGGGAATGTTTGGTTTTAACATAGAGCTATATACCATTCCTTTACTAATATTAATTTCATCAGAGGATAAATCAGAAAATTTTTCAAAGTTACAAAAGGCTTTTGCAATTTCAACCTATTCTAAACTTAGGAAAAATCCCCTAGAAACTGTTAACAGCAATTTCAATAAAACAATAAAACTTCTACTGAAAGGCAAAGATGAATTAGTCAAACAATTTACTTCCACTAATCCATCTTTACCATACATGTATGGACTAATAAAAACGCACAAACCAGGGAATCCAGTCAGACCAATTATTAGCTCCATAGGGTCAGTTTCATATAAATTATCCAAATGGCTTGTTGATATTTTGAGCCCTATTGTTGGCAAAATTTCTAACTTTAATGTTAAAAACAACATAGACTTGGTTGATAAATTAAGCTCCTTGACTGACTTAAATGATTTTAACATGGTTAGTTTTGATATTACTTCCTTGTTTACGAAGTTCCTGTTGATGATTTATTAAGTTTCTTATCTGAAGAAACTCGTTAACTATGATTTACCATTGCCAGTTCCTACTATCATTAAACTTATAAACTTTGCATTGTTGATGCAAAATTTGTATTTAATGGTAAGTTTTACACTCAGAAGTTTGGGTATGGCAATGGGAAATCCTCTTTCACCTGTTCTTAGTAACCTATACATGGAATTTTTTGAAACAAGGTTGCTTAACACAATCCTCCCTAATAGAGCTAAATGGTTCAGATATGTTGATGATATTTTGTGTCTTATGCCCAAAAAAGTAGATATACACCATTTCCTTGGAAAATTAAATAGCTTAGCCCAAATTTTATAAACTTTACTTTGAGTTTGAGAAAATTTAAATCATTGCCTTTTCTAGATGTTTTAATTATTAAGGGTAATAATGAATTCAAATTTAAAATTTACAGAAAACCACAAATAACTGTTCCTATGTCCCTATTATCCTCGCATCAAGATAGTCAAACTGTTGTTTTCTCATCAATGTTTTTGAGAGCTTTACGAATTTGTAGTCCTGAGTTCATAGATGAGAAATAAACCAAAAATTTATGAAATAGGTAAAAGATTTAAAATACCCCAAGAAATGTAATTGATAAATCTTTTAAAGTTGCTAGAAACACTTTTTTAACAATCCAAAAAGGGACAACCACCTTATTCAACTAAAAATATGTTGGTTCTCCCTTACCATGAAAACTTGGTTGATATGCCTTCTCTTCTTAAGACTTTTAATATTAAAGTTGTATTCAAAAAAACTTGATACAGTAAAAAAAACTTTTTTTATAAAGAATTCCCCCAAAATGCGATGGATAATGTCTATAAGATTCCTTGTAAAAAATTTTCGATAAGTTTATTTCGGTCAAACTGGTAAAATCTCGAACTAAGATTAAAACAACATAAATATAGCATTAGAACTGGACAAGATTCAATGCTCTATTTATTCATGTAAGAGATTTTAACAATCCAATTGAAATTTTCAAAAAGTTTAGAAAGTAGTATCAAGCAAGTCCATGGTCGACAGGGAAAATAATTGAATTTTTGTTTCATAAAAAGCAGTTTTGACAATAATATGATATTTTCTTTGGTTTATATAAATTAGATCCATTTATAATTAATAGAATTTGGGAAGAATTTAATAATACACTGGACAAATAATAATTTTTAAATTTTCTTGGGTAGAATAGTTTGTGGGTGAGTTGTGCAAAGGACCTATCCAAGTTGGGTCGGCGGCGTCACGTGTTTAAAACCGTTTTGGGGGTCTGATAGTGAGGTGCTGGCCAGACCCCTTATATAGCTTTCCTTGGATGCTTTACTTTCATAGTTCCTTGATAATGTGAGTAGCCACGAAAGCGCTTGGAATTTCTCTATTCTTTCAGAAGTAGTTTTTTTGAAATCACCTTTTACTATGATCTTATTGCATATATATATATATA